ATAAATATTTTAATATCCAAAGTTTATTATATTGTATATGTTCACATAAGACTGAGAACAATTTGCATTTCTATTGGCTGTATATGGAGAGTGCTTGTTTCAACCTATCTATAGCATTAAGTGTGTTTGTATCTTTTTTTTTCTTACATAACTGATACAGCTTTAAAAAGATTTGAATCTAGACATGAAGCTGAAATTGTGCAAATCAAAAGGCAAATTTGTTCTGGTTTATTAAACATTTTGGTAATGAGAAATTTGTATACATTATTGATAGTATCTCATGAGTAATTCAGTAGTACTGAGTGATGGCGGCAACTGTACTAGAGACCACAGCTATAAAGATCAAGTCTTTAAGCAACACTGGTGTACTCTTGCTCTTGCTGTTGCAGCAGTTGCCTGACATTCTGGTTTGTTACTCATACCCTACCTTGTCCAGCGATGGTGAGGCAGAGATTTGTACCTTTCTAACTCCAAAGTAGGTAAGACACCTGGTTAGTGCGGCCAGGGAAACTAGATTGATTTCAGAATGGCATAGTCATAGCTATTGTTCTTTTTTAAAAGACAGTTTAATATTCTTATCATTCTCTGGAAATTTATACCAGGCCTAGGCGATTTGCTTTATAAGGTCATATTAATACATCTCAGTGTAACAACATTTGGGCCTGTGGTTTCTGATTGTAGTTATGAACAGACAGCCAAATATTAATTTCACTTTGAAAAACTAATGTCCTTTTTTTGTGAATGGAATCAGCTGTTTTTTGGTGTGAATGTATCTCCTCGTGATCCATTTATTAATTTAAATGTTTTATACCCCAAATGGGGACATTTGTATATTTTAAACCAATTTGTAGTAAGCTTTAAGAATAATGGTTGGTAAACCAATTTGTAGTAAGCTTTAAGAATAATGGTTGGCCCATCTCAAACCTTCATTATAAATAGTTTTAATATATTATAGTGAAGTTTTAGATATTCTTACATTTTTTTCTTATCAGTTCTACAGTTTGAACTCAGGGCCTTGTGCCTGTGAGACAATTGTTCTGTCACTGCTTGCAGTTTTTCTGTCTGTACATTAAAATTATTTACTTTAATGTCTTCTCCTCACATAATAATAGTAAATTTGAAGACACATGCAATAAGTGTTCAACTTCTTCACTCCAATTTGGAGTATGAACATCACTCAGCCTCCTAAGAGACTTAAGAAACCTAAATGAGAATAAAATCTATGTAACAATTTAGGGGAGCCAGCATACCAGTCTGCCTTGATGGAGTGTTACTCATATAGACCAGAAAGACCTGGCTGGGATCTTTGCTCAAATTTGGTGGTTTCACTTTATATTTCTGTTCCTTTAAGATTTACCTCCAAATACCAGTGGAATTTGATAAGTGACCTTGAAAACTTCAAATACAGTGGAAAAGTGACTTTGAAATTTTAGCAGTCATAATTTGGAACACCTTTGCTTTTCTACCTATGAGATAGGAATTTTAACTTCTCCCCATGGAGAAGGACACATGAATGATGAGCAGAGGCCTGACTTTACAGTGGCAGCCAGCATGGTTGGGTGGGTATTGGTACATTTTCCTTTGAACCTAGGTGCCACAGTGAGCTTTTTTTTTAGAATGGTCCAGCTGTCACCAGCTTCTGGAGTTGACATGGAATGTAAAACTCTGACATGGATACTGTCTCCATAATAGGTGACCATTGCTATTTATTTGCTTCACAAATAAAATAAAATAAAATAAAATTATTACAATAGTTCTAAAGTTAGTCTTGGAAATATTTAGGAATGACGTAGAAAGACAGGAATTTCCTTTTAACATTTAAACCTGTGTCACGTGAAAAGTACCTTTACAAATTACATTTCTTTCCTGTTAACTTACATTGAATATATTCTAAACCTCTCAAATTAAGCAAGTATTCTTTCTTTTTTTTTTTTAGAATGAAACCAAATACAATCTAAATATTTGGGTTTCAAAACCTAGATAGTAGTATGCAAAAGGAAAAGTATGCTATTGTATTTTAATATGTGAAGAAAAACAGATATTTGATTATATAAAGTGACAAAACCATTTGAGCCTTTAAATTTGTTTGGCATTCAAGGCTTTAGCACTTGCAAGATAGGCCCTCTACCACATAAGCCATTCTTCCAGTCATTTTGGGGGTTGATTATTCTCAAGATCAGGTCTCATTTTATACCCAGACTGGTCTGGGCTGTGATTCTTCTCTTTGTGCTTCTCTGCATCACTGAGATGACAGCTACATGCCACTGAGCCAAGCCATTGTGATTCTGCTGTGGCTGGCTAACAGGTATGCACCATGTTGTCCAGGCATTGAGGAAAAAGGAATCTTGCCATTTTTTTTTTTGTATCCAGGCTGGCTTTGAACTCCATCTGGTCAGTTGCCTCACAAATAGCTAGGATAACAGGCTTAAGCCAATATATTTGGCTTATTTTGTTTCTTAGTGTTCCTTTACCTTAGAAAAGAAGTTTCTTAAGCTGTGATATCACATGAACAGCATAAAAAAGAGATAGTTTGGCCTTGACATTTTCAAAGAACATGTTTATCTTTTGAAAAGGAAATTGGTATTTTTTTCCCTATAAGTAATCCTTCACTTGCATCCAATTGCCAATCAGGCATAAACACTAATTTTGTTCTCCTAGGATATCTTTTTATATACAGTATTAAAAATGGAACCATACTTGTGTATTGTGCTACATATTCATAAGACACCACTTTCTAAAACAGTTGTTCAGAGACCTGAGTAACAAAAAGTTGATGTTGTCTTCGTGGGCAGCCTAATGGTTTTTCACATTAATTTCCAAGCTCAAAATGATTTTTGAAATGCTTGACTGTTTCAGGTATTTTGTTGCTGGTTTTATAACTCTGTTGTAACCTTATCAATGGAAATTTCTGTTAAAATTTCCAGTCTTATTTAGGAAATTCATCCCTATCTGCTGTTCATTTGTATTTTTAGTCACTTAAATCCCTCTGCTTAACTCAAATGATACATCATCCAATTTGTTTAAGCTATGTATATAAATTTTCTGGGCTTTTTTTGAAAGATAGCTTATTCATCTTAGAAAATTTTGGACCTTAAAATTACAAGCCAGGTGGGGGGGCCGGAGGAGGATGGGAAGGGATGGGAAGGGGAAACAAAGGAGGAGGCTACAATGCTTGATAAGAAATGTACTCATTATCTTGCCCATGTAATTGTAACCCCTCTGTACAGTATTTTCACAATAAAAAAATATTAACAAAAAAAATTACAAGCCAAACTTCATTACCTGTTTTAATTTCTTGTCAATTGCTGGCTACAAATATACCCAGCATGCTTTAACTATGGAATACAGTCAGTCCTCTTGGTGGGCAAAACTGTCACATTGCTGCTGGTAGGTGGTGTTTATGGGGCAGGGGTAATGTGATTCCTGAAACTGCTTTCTTGTTTCTGGGGGAGGTGTGGCTGTGTAAACCACAGTGCCAACCACTGGGCTCCGCTGGCAATATTATGGGTTGCCTGTGGTTCCTCAGAGAGATGACTGGCTTGGGACAAAGCCACTGTGCTTACATGGAGCTCTTTGATTCCTCACTGAGTCAAAAGGTGTTTCGCTTATATTTAAGGGAATGAAGAACCCAATTGTAAATATTTTAGAGAAGAACATATATTATGGTAAGTATGAGATTTTTATGGCTATGTAGGTGAATTCTTGGGCAGAGCAGAGTGCTTTGGCTCATAGTATTGCTTTCTGGAAGGAGGCAGCTTAGTCATCCACTAGCAGTGAGGTCTTCACTAACTAAAACTGTTGTAAGTAAGAGTAAGAGTAGCTTTGACTTCCTAACTTTTGTGTCTTCAATTCCAAACACAATGATTGGCACATGGTTGTTGCTTGAATATGACTTATGAATGTAATAGAGGCTGAACTGAAGGCTAGCAGTGTGGACACTTGGTCTCCTTCAGTGATGGTAAAAACTGCTTTACCACTTTGTGAATCCCAGGCCACTTATACCCCCTTTCTGGTGCTGCCTTTGTGTGGTAGAGCAACAGCTGGAGAGCTAAGCAAGCTTGCTCTAGCAGTTCAGTTTAATGAGCTAATAAGCTTCAGTGTGGGGTATGGGCTGAGATGGCCTGACAGTTCAACAAGAAGTAATTGCTCATATAGAAGAGTAGAAAAGAGTGGCTTCCTGGGGAATTGTTTTCTGGAAAGACAGAAGAGGTCACCTTATTCCAATTAAAAAAAAAATTTTTTTTTGTGTCTGTTGTGGGGCTTGAACTCTAGACCTGGGCGCTGTCCCTGAGCTCTTCAGCTTAAGGCTAGTGCTGTACTTCTTGATCCACAGTGCCACTTCCGGTTTTCTGAGTGGTTTATTGGAGATAAGAGTCTCACGGACTTTCCTGCCTGGGCTGGCTTTGAACCGAGGTCCTCGGATCTCAGCCTTCTGAGTAGCTAGGATTATGGGTGTGAGCCACTGGCGCCCGGCTCATACCAAATTTTCATAAGTTCTCAAGTGCTTTCTTTGATTCCACAAGAGATGCGTTTGACATACCTACTGTAAGGTATGGACTGTTTGTGGTTTACTTGTTACAGTTTCCTCTTTCTAATAAGAGGAGGAAGCTTGGCTAAGTGTTTTGTGCAAGTTTGCCAAGAAGGGGAATGGAGTTGTTTTCTTGGGAGGATTCCGGGGTGCTATTTCAAGCCAGTCAGAAAGTTCTAATAGTTCTACTAGAAGTATAAAGCAACAAATGTCATTTCCATGTTTCTCTCTTCAGAAAATGTGAACTAAATAATGAATAGCCTGCACATTATTAGTTTGAGTCAACTTCTGCATTCTTTTTGATGTTTAGCTTAAAACTAAAACATCTCCCAAGTGATGCTGATTGTCATCCCCAAATGTAGTTTCTATATTTGTTTAGCTGTACCTAATACAATGCTACTCTAGTTAGAAAGAAAATAGGTAGTAGTGTAACTCTTCACAAGTTGATCTTACTTGACTTTCCTTCTTTCAGGTACTACAGTGCCAGCCCACAGAGCCATCTTGGTGGCCCGTTGTGAAGTGATGGCAGCCATGTTTAATGGAAATTACATGGAAGCAAAGAGTGTCCTGATTCCAGTTTATGGTGTTTCTAAAGAGACTTTCTTGTCATTTTTAGAATACCTATACACGGACTCTTGTTGCCCAGGTGAGCAGCAGACATGCTAGGTGATATTTCAGTTAGTTTCCTTGTCACTTAAGTTGATAAGTTCCTGTGAAATCTGCTCTAGTTGGTGCAGAACAGATTTAACACCAAGGCATGTGCTAAGCAGTTGGAGATGATCTCTGGACAACAATGGAATTTCAGTTACTTCAAATGAAGGAACAATGGTTGAGAGACTTCTATGAACTCTTCTATTCTGGCATAAATTAACAAGTCTCAGCCAAAATCAGCAGCCTACTGATCACTGTAGGCATACCAGGAATGTAGGTGTTTGGGGCTATTCTGTGGATTTGGGCAGAGGACACCTCATAAAAAGGTTGGGTGCCTACTTTTATTGTTCTGGTTTGATTGGGACAATGATAAGGACTTTGGATAATTTTTGGTCTTCTTTATGGCCTGAAGGATGTTGGGTTTGTTTTGAACTCAGGACCTTATAACTGCTAAGCAAGTGCTCTGCAGCTAAGCCACACCTCTGAGCCTCTTTTGTGCTGTTTGTTTTTTGTTTGTTTGTTTTTTAGATAGAGCCTCATTTCCTGCCTAAGTCCCTATTTTATGCTTTCTGTCATAGGATGACAGGTGTTTACCATGCCCAGCTTCTACTGATACAGAGTTTCAAAGACTTTCTTCCTGGGCTGCTCTAGAACTTGAGTCCTCCCAATCTCAACCTCCCATATATCTAGGAGTTAATGTACCACTATACCCAGCACTGTTTGAAAAGGAGTCTTGTGAATTTTTCTTCCTTAGCTCATCTTCAGTCATAATCCTCAAAATTTTAGTCAGGATTACATGCATAAACTACTGATATCAATCTAAGATGTGTGAAGCCATTCAGCATCTTAAAATGTACTTTTCTCAAAACATAGCTGAAGATATTTATAATACTTAGAGGACTGTAGGCTTTATTTCCAAATGCACTAACCAAAGACTGTCTTTGACCAGGAACCAATCATTTTTAGCACCTACGGGTTAGAACAAATCTTGCAAATTTCCCATAAAGGAGGTACCTTGGAGAAATAACAAAATCCTTTCAACAAGCATAGAGAGAGAGCCCTGTCTTACAGCCATGGAAGCACCTTTGATTATTTACCCTTTGACCACCAGATGGCTCCCACCACAAACACAACTAGAATAAGCCCCATGCAGCTGAGATTTGCAACTGAAGTCTCAGCTAGACACCCTAGCAGAGGGAAAACATAAACATACACCTCTCTTTAGGTCCACTGCTTTCATGAATTGAAAATTGCTGAAGTAAGCTTTAAATGTCAGGAGCCCTCTAATGAAAAGTTTTAGTAGTTCCAAAAAGAAAATTCCTTCTTTTGTTTAATTAATCTGGTTTTAGAGCCCGTTGTTACTGTCTGTGTTAAGGACCAGTTTATCATTTTTTGCTTAAGAAAAATGAAAGCAGTCTGTTGTTTTTTTGTGTGTGACAATGTGTTGTTTTTGTTTTCTGCCAGTCCTGGGGCTTGAACTCAGGACGTGGGTCCTATCCCTGAGGTCAAGGCTAGCATTCTATCACACGAGCCACAGTGCCCCTTTCCGCTTTTCCTGAGTAGTTTATTGGAGATAGGAGTCTCACGGATTTTCCTGCCTGGGCAGGCTTTGAGCCATGATCCTCAGATCTGAACCTCCTGAGTAGCTAGGATTACAGGCATGAGCCACTGGCACCCAGCAATATGACTTGTTTTAATAGTGGGAAATTTGTATATTAAAATTTAGAAGTGGTCAAATTTTAAGTAATAGGATTTGAACTCATTGTCTGAGTGCTATCAGTGAGCTCTTTTGCTCAAGGCTAATACTCTACCACTTTGAGCCACAGCTCCACTAACAGTTTTTGAGTGATTAAATTGTACATAAGACCCTTGTGGGGACTTTACTGCTTAGGCTGTGCTTTGAACTGTGATCCTCAGATCCTCAGCTTTGGTTATAGGAGTGAGCCACTAGCACCTGGCAAAACTTGGTTTTTTAATCATCATCTCAAGTAAAGTAATTGAAGTTGTTGCTAATTTTAAATTTTACCTTGCTAACCAGGAAAAAATTGTTCAGGAAAGTGACAATGAGTTTAGGAAAAGTACTTTTACAGTTGTGAAAGGTATGCAGAGAAAATGAAAATTAACAGACTTGAGCCAAATATTAGAATAAATGCATTGGGAAAATTACAATGTTACTGTATTCATTCATAGACTGTTACTCTATTCGTGTTCAATATTTACTGTGTTCTTAGTTCCATAGCTACAAAAGAATGTAAAGAGTTTAAGGAAGAGAATTACATGAAAATTATGTATAAAATTACATTTTAAAGAGACAAACAGGCCAGGTGTAATGACTCCTGCCTATAATCCTGGTTACTTAGGAGACAAATTGGATTGTGGTTCAAGGCCAGGCTAGACAAAAAGTTAAGGACAGCTCATTTCATTGAATTCAAAGCTGAGTATGGTGGTAGCTGTTTGTCATCCCAGCTCTGGGGAAAGCATAAATAGGAGATTGCAGCCCAGGCCAGCCTGTGCAAAAACTGAGACCTTCTTCAGAAAATAAAGCAAAAAGGCCTGGAGGAATCATAGAGTGCCTATGTATTGAGTGAGAGGCCCTGAGTTCAAACCCTAGTGGAGCCAGAACAAAACCAAGCAAGAAAACAGCTGGACGGGTGCCAGAAACTAGAGGGAGTGGTATTGGAGTGGGTATGTGGAGTTTCAGGTTGGGAAGTTGAATGATGTTCTGGAGATGTCTTGTTGATACACTCGCTCACAACAACGTGACTATATTTCACAACACTCAATTGCATGCTTAAATCATGGAACTGGTATGTTTTGTGTTACATGTATTTTACCACAGTGAAAACAAAACAAGCCTGGGGAGGACTAAAGCCAAGAAAGCAACATCACAGGGATTGAGTTTAGCTAACAGTGTAATGAGCTGATAGCTCTGCATTGATGAAGGGCAGTTACAGAATCACCTCCTGGTGACTTTAAAGAAAAAAAGACTTCCTTCTGAGTGTGGCAACTTCATTGGATTCTTATAAAATGGTGTCACGGTTTGGAATGCTGACTAGCCTGGAGGGAATTCTTGTCTACACCAGATAATACCATCAATCTCATTCTTGTTGGGTGTGTGTGCTTTCTGTTTTGGGTGATAAAAGCAAGTTTTATCACCTGTTTTTCTCTTCTTTCTCTCCTCTCATCAGCTGGCATCTTCCAGGCCATGTGTCTCCTCATCTGTGCTGAGATGTACCAAGTCTCCAGGCTGCAGCACATCTGTGAGCTGTTCATCATCACACAGCTGCAGAGCATGCCCAGCCGGGAGCTGGCTTCCATGAACCTTGACATCGTCGACCTACTCAAAAAGGCCAAGGTGTGTGATTTAAAAAACAACAAAAACTTACTAACCTTTTTTTGAATTTTAATATTTCTATAGATTTGATGAACAGTATGCCACATTTATCGCTTGAAAAATTCAATAGTGAAAACTCGAGAGGCTTGTTTATTCTTCAGAGATGATCAGTAGTTGGGTATATTATTCTGCATTACATGTCTGTACTCCTTTGGTGTGTGTTTTGCCACTACTGGACACCTACCTCTATTTGTTCTATGAGTAGTTTTTTCTTTTTTTCCAAACTGTCAGGTTTAATAACCTTTTCTTCTTGTCACAGTCTGTACTATTTTATCACCTCAGTTTACCACCATTGTAGTATATTAAACTACAAAGGAGAAAATTCAGTGTTGCGATGTTTCAGACTTTTAAGAAGTGTGTGACTGCACCAACATCTAATGTTAAATCATGAAATAACTTACTTGAGGAAACAATATAAATTTTTCCTTAAAATAATCTGAAGAATTATGAAAACTACTACATAAATGTGAAAATATAGCTGAAAATAATATCATGAGTATGCTAATATGGAAGTAATTTATAAAATAACATCACTCATACAATAAACTAAAACTACGCCCTTGCTCCCCATCTTCCTTTTGTAGAGAATTTACTCTCTGAAATAACCATCATGTGGTCCTCATTTCCTGGCAACCAAAAGACTATTAGATGTCCCTAGAGTTTGGGCCACCTCCTAGAAATGTCTGCCCTGTAGTTACCCTTTCCCATTTCCCATTGTAACAAGGCCTGAGAGAATGCCACCCAGCTGCCATGTCTCAAAGTAAGGCAAGAGGACAGGAGCTCGCTTCTCTAGGTGGTGGCTTCTAGGCCTTTAGATAGTAATTATCTCAAACTCATCGTTTGCATCAGTCTAGAGAAGAAAGAGGAGGGGGGTTCATTGCTCAAGCCTGCAGTCTTGATGGTGCTGGATATTGGGCAGCAGTGGCACAATCTGCTCTGTGGTGAGGTCTTCCATGGAGCAGGTTGCCTTAGCCTCTCCTTGGGAAGGCTTCATGTAGTCTTCAAGTTGTACCTCTTCAAAACTCTGCTGCTCCTCTATAATTTACATCTCTGTGGGGCCTGACAGGTCTGAGTGGGCCCACAGCAGCAGAGGTGTGGGTGGCTGCCGGCATGTTGTCCTGGCACTCTGTGCCTTCACCTGCAAGGTGCAAGAGCACCTTCTGCCGCTGCTTTTCCCTCTTCTCCTGGGACAGCCAGAGGACACACTCATCTTTGCCAGATGACACAGCTCATCTAGGACTTCCATCTGTTCTTTGTAGAGAACTCTAGACTCTTAGATGGTGTTCATGTGTTCTTACAGCTGGCTACATTGATGTTTTAAAGGTCATGCTCTTGACTCTGATGTCCACCTTGTCGGTTTCTATTTGGGCACCTGTGTGTACTGCTTCCTGTCCCCGGACATGCCACAGTTTCACCTCTTGGGGAAGAGGGCCTGCTGCTCCAGCTTTATCTAGCACTAGGATGCCAGGTAGGCTAGGTACCTGCAGTGGGCCTGCTGCTCCTGCAGCTGCCAGCTGAGTTTTACCTTCTTTGATTCAGCAACGGATAGCACTTCAAGGTAAAAATTCCACATAGTTGGTGGTTGTCTACATCCTTTGGAACAGTCATATCAGGTGTAGTGGCCTCATCCTTCTCTTTTTTGCTTGATCTTTCACTTTCCCTAGGGAAAACTTGTAAGCTCAGCTAGGCCCACAGCTGCATGTTCTATGTCTGATTGCTTCCAGGCACTTCCTGTAAGTCTTGAGGAACCATCTGGTTCCCCAACTTGCTCTACACCTGCTCCTGCAGATGTCTCAGCAAGTGCTGCTGCAGGGCCTCCTTCTCTGAGGTCAGCAGCTGATTGGAGACTATGTGCTATTCACAGGTGGTTCTGAGCCAGGTACTGGTTATGCAGCTCCTGCAGATTCTGAGCTGCTTGGCTCTTTGATTCAGCCATCTCTTTCCATTCTTCTAACTTCTCATGGATGTTTCTTTACTTGTGCTCTGAGTGCAGGATGTTGGTGAGCTCCTCCTTCTCACCACTCAGTCTGTGGCAGGCATTCTGTAACTGGGCCAGCTGATCTTTCAGGTCTTGGTTGTGCACAAGTGTGCATCTCATTGTCTCATGTTTCTTTTCCATTGTCTCAAGCATCTTATATCAGTCCTCAGCATGCTGATCCCATTCCTCGGCCTTCTTCTCCAGTATCCACAGACACTCCAGCTCTTCCAGGTTCAGGAGACTGAGACTCTGGTTTTCTTGCATCTGCATTGAAGTTGTTCCTCCAGGTTCTTGAGCTCCTCCTGCATCTGGAAGGCCTGGGCCTACAGCTGCTGCTCAGCCAGAGATGGTCCTGCAGGGGGTTGCAGTAACTGTGGCTCTGCTAGCTGCTTTCTCAGCTCCCCAGCTTGCTCTTTAGTTCTAACACCTGCCTCACCCATTGCTCTTTCTCCACTCTCACTTGGCTCATCTGCTCCAAGAGCTACTGCTCCTTCTCCTTCCTCTACATGGACCCATCTAGCCTCAGGTCCACTGAAAAGGTGTCTTTCTCCAACTCTTTCCTGCTGTCTATTTGTCTTTCCAGCTCTGTCTGCTCCTCTAGTGCTTGTTGTAACGCATAAACTTTGATCTTCATTTGGCCTTTTATGTCAGGAGCACTTTCAGCCTCTCTTGCCATCTAGGTGTTCTCTTCCTCCAGGTCATCATAGCTTCTGACCTTTCCCTGGAGCTGCAACTTCACATTATTCAGATATTTAATGAGCTCTAAGATGTTCCTCTCTGCTCATTCTGCATGGTGAAGACTGTAGACAATGTCATCTCCAGTTCTGCAATGCACTGCTGTGAAACCTGCTGGAGGCTGGTATGATCTTCATGCTGCAGTCCTTTTCCTTGGCCACCTGGTGCACATGAACCAGGGCAGATTGTAAATCAGATTTTTCTGAAATCAACATCTGTATTGATAGCTTGTGGAGCTCCAGCTCTGTCTTCAGGGCTTCCTTCAGTGCTTCTTCTCATTCTCTTTTTCCTGTTGATCCTGCAGGTCTTTCTTTTCCTGCTACAGTTTTCAATCACAGCCCAGAGCTGCTGGTTTCATGTTCTGCTGGAGTCCAGGGCAACGGTCAGGTGTTGTGGTAGCACCTTTCCAGATCCTTGGTGTTACTGGGGCCTGTGACACTCCAGACCCTGGCAGCACTGTGCCCAAAGGCCCAAAGGTTAATGTGATCTTTGGCCACACCCTCTTTGAATTACAGTCCCCTGTGGTGTCCATCTTGGGGATATCTCCTTTTCCTTTTCATATCTCATGTTCTTCTTTCTCTTAGATTCTGCAGGTCTATCGGGACAAATCTTCTGCTGGTATTCTTGCAGCAGTTTCTTTCCTGCAGCTTTTTTTTTTTTTGGGTCTTGTTAGTTCAGACATCCCAGCTCTGAGATGGAAAAGGCGGAAGGGCCACATTCCCAGGCTCTGAAATCATCTTTATTCTCGAAATCACCACCAACTATGTCTATTTCCTACTGTATCTCCAAAATGACCTCAATTCTGTCACTCAACCACTCAGCCACCTCTATTTTCCTCAACTGATGATAGTGGTATAAATCAACAAAGGGAACACCAGTGCTACTAGGCAGCATGAAATATGGGTGTGGCCCCAGTTCTTATATCCCATTGGTCAGAGAGAAACATGAAAAATAGGGGGCATGGTCAGAACCTTGTGATCCAGGCAGAATGGGTGGAGTCAAGATGAGAGCTGCTCCCGCAGTCCCTCCCCCATACAACCATGTCCAGTTTGGTTGGGGGAGGGGTGGGACCTGCTCTTGCTGGATAGGTACATAGTTTTATGAGTCACTTTCCTGGCTTCCATCACACAGTTGTGGTCACCAGAGTTTCCACCAGCTGCCCTTCAGGAAGTGGCACTGAGAAGCATAGCTATCTATCCATGTCCAGTGTCTTCAGGTATTCATTCTATGCAGAATTAGACCTATGGTTGTGCTCATATTTGCTGTCACTTGTAGTCTCATCAGGTCTTGATTATAACCTACTCTTCTATCACTTTGAGACTGGAAGGGTCAGGGATTATCACAAGTCTAGGGCTTCTCTCAATGAGCATTGGCCATGCTGTCACAGTGCAGCACATGTTCCACACACTTTGGCTGGTGATCTCAGAGGATTCAGAAACACAGTCATGGGAGGAATGACAGTGTCTGAGAATTACGAGCTGCTGCTGTTGTCCAGGAATATGTGAAATCCACACAAGCATAGAAAGAAGAATGATAACTGGAAGAGGATTAAAAACAAATCTGTTAGCTGAGCAGTCAGCTAACCAGTGACATCCAAATGATGTTCCAATGTGTCCAGAATCCAGGTTCTGGGGCAGCTCTCTACAACTTCAGAGCCCTTGGACATCTACTTCAGCACTGGTGTGATTGGTTGCCCTCCAGCCATGGGCTGACATGATTGGTGAGTCCATTTTGTGTGACCAGTTTTTCCTTCCAAAGAAAACTTCGTGCTGGTTATGATGGAATGCACCTGAAGTTCTTTATCCTCAAGTCACTTCTTTGGATTAAGGCATTGTCTCCAGAAGGCCACTGTGAAATGCTAGTTATCAGGACTCAGGGTGGCGGTGAACTCTTCAGTCTCTCGACTAAAGTGATAGCCAGTCCTGAGCCCTGACCACAGCAACCAGCCATATATTAACCTTTTAAATATTTTCATGAGGTATTTTAAAAATATCTTTATGAGACACAGTGGTGTCTGTGATTAAGCAATTTATGGATGTGGAGTTTTTCTTTCAGTAGCGGTCCTTAACCAAAGTCATTTGAGTGTAGTGCCTTACTGAGTCACACAGGCGTGATGGAAAGTTGAATTTCCATTGAATCCCTCTCCCCTCCTACCAAAAAAATGATAACTTCTAAAAGAAAAATGACAAGATGAGTCCCTGTATAAGGATAGGTGTGATTAGACTAAATTCATTGATCTCTTCATTCATTGCCTGTTTATGTTTGAAAGTGAAACTTTTATATAGGAGAAGCTAGTATAGTTTGTTAACCCTTGCAAAATGCCCTTTGTTGGAATGTCTTACCAACTGTGTGAGGAATTTAATAAAATGCAGTGTGAGACTGAGCATCATTCATGCCTTCTTTTGGAGATGAGCAATTTTGGTATTCTTACTTTTCCTTTTATTCTCTCTTACCTTCTCCTGATTGTCTACTATGATTCTAACTGGTTCTTTTATTTCTATCAAATAAATTGTATGCTCTCTGTCTCTCTGTCTCTGTCTCTATCTCTCTCTCTCATCATCATCATGGAGCTTGAACTTAGGGCCCAGGTGTTGTCCCAGTGTCTCTTAAATGTTAGCTCAAGGCTAGCACTCTACTACTTTGAGTTGCCACAATTCCACTTCCAGGGTTTTTCTGGTGGTTTATTGGCGATAGGAGTCTCACGGTCTTTCCTGCCCAGGCTGGCTTTGAACCATGATCCTCAGATCTCAGCGTCCTGAGTAGCTAGGATTACAGACGTGAGCCACCAGTGCCTGGCCATACTCCATCTCTTAATACACAAATGATCCTTGTTTATTTTGCTCAGTCAAATCAATTTCACACTGAAATGATCATCCCTTCTCTCTGACATTTAAGCAATATCTATTCAAACTTCAATACTATGAAGTTGTATTTACTCTCATATTAAAATTTAATAGTATTCTTATAAAGTATATCTAATATTTGGCTACCTGGGTCCATAAGTTCTGATTCTTTTTTAATATATGTTTTTATTGTAAAAATACTGTACAGAGGGTTTATAGTTACATGAGCAAGGTAATGAGTACATTTCTTATCAAGCATTGTTGCTTCCTCCTTTGTTTTTCCCTTACCATCCCTTCCCTTCCACCTTTACAACTACACCCTCCCCCCCCACCTAATTTGTAAATTTCGGTTTCAACATAGTGTCTTGTGCATCTCATTGTTACAATGGGTCAACCTGTATCCCTATTTAAACATTTTGTTTTTTCCCTTCCCTTCCCCAAAGTAGAGAAGTATATATACAAGATGCAGGGCATTGACATCAAATACAGTGAAAACAGGGGTTATACTGTGGAAGAGGAACATACAAAGAAACAAAAAAATTACATGGTATATTATGTGTTAGAAACAATAGCAAGAAAGAAAAAATCACTTGTGTCCCTATCTTGGGTTCATTTCACTTAATATTATCTTTTTTTTTTGGGTCCAGTCGTGGGGCCTGAACTCTGGGCCTGGGCACTGTCCCTCAGCTCTTCAGCTCAAGGCTAGCACTCTACCACTTGAGCCACAGCACCACTCCTGGCTTTTTTTCTTTTTGCTTATGTGGTGCTGAGGAATCAAACCCAGGGCCTCAGGCATGCAACGCAAGCGCTCTACCACTGAGCCACCTTCCCAGCCCCATTTCACTTAATATTATCTTATCTGGTCATCTGTACATTGCTTTTGACCTTTTCTGCTTGTCCCAGACATATAGTAGTTATTGAAAATAAGGGAAACCATGGGACCTATGTTTCTTTGGGCCTGGCTTACTTCAGATCTGATTCTTTTCTGTGGCTGTTAGGTAATTTCTTTGTATTTGTTATATAGCTCTGAGGTTGAATACCATTTAGTTTGTGGATTTTTTTAATGCCTTTCTTTTTTTCTACTTCAATTTAAACATATTATGACAGTATAGACTTTTCCAAAAAACTAGTTTTAACAAAGATATGCTTTCCAGCTCTTGTCAAGAGCTCACAATTGTGGTATCTTAAATTTTAGTCAAAATTAAGATTCTAGCTAGGCATGAATGACATACACCTAGCTACTAAGGAAGCTGAGATCTGAGGATTGTAGTTCAAAGCCAACACAAGCAGAAAAGTCCATGAGACTTTAATCTCCACTTAACCAGCAAAAACCTGTAAGTAGAGGTATGGATCAAATGATAGAATAGCAGCCTTGAACAACAAAGCTAAGGGAGTTCAAACCTCAGTACCTGCACGTGCACACAGACACACACACATACACACTCACCAAAAAATGTAAGATTCTGCATTTGAAGCACATTTTTACAGTCAGCTATTATCTCTGATTTTTCTTCTCTTTCAAAGTCATAAGCCTTAGGCCATTATCTTGATGTCCTGACCTTCTGGTGGAAGGTTATCTGCTCTGGGCCAATCATCTAATGACATAATATCTTTTGTTATATACTCCATTTTTTTTATTTTATTTGTGAAGATACTGTACAGAGGGGTTACAATTACATGGGCAGGATACTCCATTATTTTTAACTTATGTTTATCTGCTTAAAAATAAGAAGAATTGAAATGTGATATTATATAAAACTATAAAGTTCCTTCCAGCCCAGAAATTCTGTGTAACAACAAAAAGAGGGATGTATTAATTTGTATACTAAGATATTTTCATACTATATAACTTATTGGAAGACCTTGTCCTTGTTTATTCCTTAAGATGTGAGGTGATAACTTAACATTATTTACTGTGCTTGCATGATATTACTACTTATTTACTACTTGTATAATATTTGTGAGAATTCTGAAAAGAACAATCTACAACAAAAAGTTGGATACATCCTAAAGTCTGTCTGAGGATAAACAGTGTGCCATACACATACAGTATAATACTGTTGATCTTCATAAAGAAATGGCTTAGATGTTACAATGTGGATAAACCTTGGAAAACATTATACTATGAGACATGAGCTAGACGAATAAATGAGGGACCCAGATTAGTCAGATTTATAGTGACAGAAAGTAAAATATAAATAACCAGGGCCCAAGGATAGCAGGTTAAGAGTAGTTATTATGTAATGGATAGGGAGCTTCAGTTTGGATAAAATAGTTTTGGAACTCAGTAGGGTGCTAGTTGCACAAGTATGTGAGTATACTTAGTGCCACTGAACTGTACACTTAGAACTGGATCAAATGGTAAGCCACCTGTTATACATATTGTATCACAAGGATGATAATAACAGTAATATGGCCAGGCACCGGTGGCTCACGCCTGTAATCCTAACTACTCAGGAAGCTGAGATCTGAGTAGGAACATCCATGAGACTCTTTATTTCCAATTAACCACCAGAAAACCAGAAGTGACACTGTGGCTCAAGTGGTAGAGTGCTAATCTTGAGCTGAAGAGCTCAGGGACAGTGCCCAGTACTAGAGTTCAAGACTCACAACCAACCTCCCTCTCCCCCACTGCCCCCCACCAAAAAAAAAAACCAATAATAAACTTTACTCTGCAAGTTCTTGAGTTGGTGGTTGAATGAATTTCCTTTGGTATGCAGCTTTTTGAACTCAGAATGGGGAGAATTATGCGAGAAATCATGCTCAGTGTAACAGGAGATCCATTAAAAGCAACTATTCAAACCTTACCTCCTCATAGAAATATTTGCACATGGAAACTCACACCCTTTGGCTGATGATGTTTACTCCTCAAAATAGTTTTATGTTTGTTCCTCAGATGGACTTTTTTTGGCTGTTGCTCCCTATAATATTTTTCTGTGATGGAAATATAAGTATAGCTAGTGAATTCTATGATGTTGGTAAATTAAAAGCTTCAATCTTTAAGAGCAATGGTTTTTGTTAATCACAAATGTCTCCAAGCCTCAGCTTGAAGACATTTGATCACTCTAGCAGCATCAACTTAGTATTGTTTCTGCTTCTTCATTGAATGAAGTAAGTTTATTATTATTTATAATGTTCCCCTCTCTCAGCAGTGACAGTTGCCTGAAGGCATATATGTGTGTGTGTATGTATACACATACACATATACATACACACACACACACACACACACACACACACACACACACACACAAACTTGGAAGTAGGCTTCTTCTTGATTTCTCTCAGGCAACTGTCTAGCCTTAATTTCATAACGATGATCCTTATATGCAATGTTTTTCCTTCTCATTTCCTTGCAGTTTCACCACTCTGATTGCCTTTCCACTTGGCTACTTCATTTCATTGCCACTAACTACCTCATCTTCAGTCAAAAGCCTGAATTTCAGGACCTTTCAGGTAGATTGCCAACTTCACTTTGAAAAGAAAACTTTTGGGGAGAGGGGAGGGACGGTGCATAGCTCAAGTGGTAGAGCAGAGGCTCTGGATTCAGTTTCAAATAGCAAAAGATAAATAAAAAAGAAATATTTTTAGTCTTTGCTCTTGAGATATAATTTTAAAAATCATGGTTTTGGAAAAGAAAGTATAGTCAATTTAATATATTTCTTTTAAATGATTCAACATACTGCATGACACTTTTATTTATTGCTACTTGTGTCATATAAGCAGTTCGACTTATGTTACACAACAAGTTTTCTAATGATTATTTTATAGTTCCCATTCATTTTTAAGTGCCATGCATTTTTGTCTGAGAGATAAAGTGGTCATACTGTCCTAGGGTAGCATTTTGTCGTGGTAAATGAGATCTTATTTTAACTACCTAAATAAGTCAGAAGCAAAATTTAAATAGTACTTTAATATGTTCTTATAAAGGAATTTAACTATTGTTAATTATTTTGTAGTACATGGTCTTTTAAAATTAAATATTTATATGTATTAAGTATATTTATATAAGCACTCCTTATATTGCTTTGGAATACATGTTTTAATTGATCAAGTATTATGAATTTGCTAACCAGAAAGTATATGTAATACAATTTCTAAGATAAACTACAAAGATAGAAACAAATCAAAGGGTGAGATTCCTAATACTACATAAAAAGAAAGAAATGAAATTGGAATAGCTTTCAGAGTAGACAATCAGATTAATTAGCAATTAATTACAACGTGCTTATGCTATTATCTAGCATAGTTTCAAGCAGAAAACTTGAACTAAAAAGATAAGGAAATGAAAGAATACTTGGTCATGTACTTTCAAACTCTGGACAAAAACTCTTCATGGAAATGCCTGAAAGTTGTCTTGAGTTGGGGACAGAAAGTTGACGAGTAAGGAGAAGAGAGAAAAGGAAAGAGGAGGGCAAAACTCTTATCTCTCTTAGACTTGAACTTTCCTTTCAGAATAATTTGCTTTTTTCTGTTGCATAGCTGAGAGTTTGTTTTTACTCAGTAAAAAGGCAGGCTACGAAAGGGTATGTTTCACCCAAACTAGAGAATAAGCAAAGTCAAAGACCTGGAGTTGAGGAATGGTGGGATCTATGTTGAAAGTGTAAAAGCCAAAAAGGATATATGGGCCTCTGGAGTCAGTCCTCTGGCGCAGCAGCAATTACAAGCGAATGGATAGGTGATCTGATAAAGATGACCAAGTCGAAAGCAGGATTGAGAGCACAGTGTTTAGAAGATTTACTGCAAAGAAACTAAGTAAAAATAAATGAGTTTACATCTAGGACAAACAAAAATTGTACTCAAAAAGAAAAGGTAAACAATCAGACACTACTTGGTGAATCTCTGGACAAGCCACATATAATTGGAAATCACTTAACAACAACAAAAGCCTCCTGATTCAGTTAGCTAAAATTGTATTAAATGATTCTGGAAAGCTGGAGGGAAGGGAAGAGTATATAACAGAGTGAATCTCATTTACTGTATCGGAAATTGATAGTTAATACCTCAACCGATCCAAAGTAAAATAAGTTCCATTAACATTCTTTTCTCTTAAAATTTTAGTGGAAGAACGCAGTTTCGTTGAAAAGCACAGATGGCCATCAAATATGTACTTGAAGCAGCTTGCAGAATACAGGAAGTATATTCACTCCCGGAAATGTCGTTGCTTAGTCATGTAACCTGGAGCTTTTATATGCGTACACTTTTTTTTTTATTACTATGAAGACTGGGATGCCTCTGGATTCCAGTAAAATTCTTATAACTGAGACCGAATATGGGTGATTAAAAAAATACATCACCATACAGCTTGATAAATTTATTAGTTCTCTTTGCAAAACACTATTGTGGGTCTTAAGAGGGAACGCAATATACTGCAGACTAAAAAGTCTTCTGTGTAGAATATAAAGCTGTAGGACAGGTGTATTCTCCCTTTAAAATATCCTGTTCCTTTAGTGACATGAAAACTCCTTCCAGTTTAAAAACATGTTAAGTAAAAAAAAAAACCCTAGATTAATACAGAAATTTCATCATGTCTAAGTGTTCTATTAAAATAAAGAGCCTTTAAAGACCCAGTGTAACTATTTCTATAGTCAGAAATTTAGGGGAAGAACTAATCATTAAAACCAGATTATGGAAGTGGCATGCCACTTGGTTCTGAATCAGTGAGTGTATAGATGAATATCATGAAGAAAAATGTCTGTTTTCCAGACAAGGTTGCCTACCTGTCTTGTCCCCTCCTTAAGATTCTGGTTAAGCAGGAAACCTAATCAGGCTTTATCATGCCTAACCTGTTTCAACTGCACAGCACCCACACTTGGAAGGGCCTGGCCCTGGGTTCCACTTCGAGTGCAGTTGTCAGATCCTTAATTCTTAACATCATTTAGAGAAGGACCTTATGCTTTCACTTTGCACTGTGCCCCTGTTGCAGACATACGAATTATGTCTATTTCCTGAAAAGAAAAATACTGTTGTTTTCATGCTCAGACACCATACTGTGACAGCAGAAAAAGAACACTGATCCTAAGAGAAGAGGGTGTGGCTTGTTGGAAGGAAGAATGCACAGTTGCGATTGCTGAAATTTGTAGTACCCAAGACCTCCACTGCCACCCCCACTGGTATGTGAGAAATTCCTTGTGTTAGCTTTAAAACACTTTTGTTGTGGTTCAGCTCCAGATGAAGAAGTATCTTCTTACTCATTCTGAAAGACAAGAATGTTGGTAAGAATGACTGATTAACCTGACTGTAATAGTCCATGTTTATAAAGATACAGGCAAAAGATGCTTGACATGACAGCTTGAGAAGTTTTCTCTCCTTAGTGTATTTGCTAAGATTTGGATGTTAGTAGTTGGAATCTCTTGAACTCTTTCCAGTAGATTACAAGGCTACATGGTGTGAAATGACATTAGTTTTGTGCCTCAATTACCTTACCCAGTAAGATAAAAGGAAGGATATAAATCAGACTGTTATGTTCAGAGAGAATGGTCGTAGAGAACAGAATTAGAGTTTCTCTCCTATCACATGTAATGATTCCATGAGAAGCTCACAAGCCTGCAGATTTGGAAAAACAGATTACTATTTATTGTTGGTCTCATTGTCATATGTAATTTAGTATTGGAATGTATTTTCCTCTAATTCTTAGTGACTCTAGAATATACATTTTTTCACAACTTTCAAAGATTGATTAAAGTCTTATAGTATTAGGATTCCATACAATTAGCCCTTATATGTATATCAACACTGTCAGAGAAGCAGTAAAAATTCCCTATAGAAATATTCCAAGACACCTAACTTTAATTGGACTGTGTCACTGAATATTACTGGAATGTATTTTATGGAGTTTTTTGTGTGTATTTTTCTCACTTGAATTAATAGCAAATCCAAATTGACTAGAATTAGTATTGTTAAGAATAGATACTAGAGCTAACTTCTAGAAATCCACTCATATTTACAAACTTTTAAATAACCATAATCTCAGCCTGCTTCTTAATTGTAGCATTTCAGATTCTAAAACTTTTAGGAAATTGAGATATGTACGTTTCAAAATAAAGTATCATTTGTAAAAACAATTTGACTTCTAAGTAGAATTAAAGCTAGTTCTTAGAGATGGTTCTGAGTAAGAGTTGAGTTTGGAAACTGGTACTCTTAGATATGGAAAGTACTTCACCACCTGTATAAGTGATTTAGCCAGACATCATGATTCTCCAGAGCTAGTCAGAATACAGTTTGTTACCTGTTGAATGTAGACTCTTCTTACTTTTGAATTCACTCACTTTTAAATAATGAGAAATTTACTTAATGACTTTGAGAAGTGAGTTTGGTTTTAAGATTTTTGTGGACTTTGGGCAATTGAAATATTATTTTTAGATGGATGTATGCTTGTGTTGATTTCTGCTTCAATGTATCTACCAATCAACTTTAATTAGAGAAGATAATGTGTAATTGAACTAAGGCCCTTGCTTTCTTGGCCAAGTTTTCATTCTATTTAACCATTTTTATACCTCTGACTACTCCATCTTGCTAGGAAATATATAATAAAGAACTCTCAGTATGGTAATTGAAATTTACCCTGTTGAAGCCAGCATGGTGGCTCAGTATTAGGTAGTGGTAAAAGACTGACGAATTGGATAAATTTGACAGGCCAGCTTTTCAACTGTAATTTTACAAACTACACTACATTGATATAATTAGACCTAAATGTGCTCAAAGATTATTTTATTTAAAGCATCTGTTTAATTCAACTTTTAATAATTTTGCAAAGAAGGGTATATGTGTATTTTAATATAGCCTGACTGGAATTTATATGTTTTTAGCTTTAGTATTTAACATTTTGTAACAAATAAAAATTTTTTAAAGCAAGTTTAATGAATTGTCTTATAGTTATTGTACCTCAGAAGTTAAATTGCTACAATTATTTTGGACATACTACCTTGTGTTTCTGAGGCATAATTACATAAAATTTCCATCATGTATAAAATATTTAAAATGTTGCTGATATTCATATGTGTGTGGTAAGTTTAAAAGAATTATTTATGTGATGGGAATTATTTATGTGATGGAGATGTGGCTCAGTGGATAGAGCAATTGTCTAGCATCTTGAGGTCCTGGGTTCATTCTCTAATACTGAACAATTAATAGACAATTTTTTATTAATTTTAACAACTAGTTGAAGGATAAAAGAATCTTTCTTTGTTTAAATAAGTATCCAGAAGGGTTTGACAATTAGGAAGCATAGAATTGAGTTCTTTGTAAGCTACAATGTTGAATAACCCAAGAAATGCAAAATGGAGAGGTCACTCGGTTGAATAGAGGGATAAGATTTTGTAGCTTCCTAGGTCTAAGGATCCCAGTGAGGAAGAAGAGAGAGAAAGGAAGTTACAACGTGAGGACAAATTATGATGTGGTCCCTCTCTTGAAGATTCCTAAATTCTCTGTAAAGTCTACTGAATGCATCAAGACACTGTAGTTAAAATGGGATTTTGTTTCTAACACGTCAGATATAGATACTTTACCTTCCTAGAAAACCCATATCACCCATGCAAAAACTTGCATAGTCCTCCTCATTGGCAGCAAGACCCTTCATAATTATGATCTATCTTTTCTGCCTTGATAATTCTCTCCCAAGCAGAAAATACGCTCCCATGTTGACACATGACTGTCCACACAGATCATCTGAATGGATTGGGTTAGGTCATCACTTCTGCCTACTTTGCAAGAGCATACATATCCAATAAAACCCAACATGAGCATTTCTCTTTTGTGTTCCTCTCTTAGGGAGAATTATTTTCTTCTACATGTCTTTCCCCAGCTCATCATTCATATCTTGTGGTCAGTCTTATTGCAGCATTTCTAGATATGTGTGTATGATAGTATCTACTTAGCTATTATTTGAGGGCAGGGACCACTTAGGTTTCAGAGGATAAACTGGACAGCCTGGCTGCCTGGACACTTGTCACTGGTAGAGTCACCCAGGAAGTCCTAGTAATGAAATGCCCACCAGAACTGTGAGGTTGGGGCTGCCACAAAGACCCTTGGACTTCAGCTCCAGCCAAGGAAAGCTTCAGGCATGGATTCCAAACAGTAGCAGCTGTGGCACTATTTGTGACCCACAAAACCATGGGTTGGGGTTGCCCATGGTTTCACGCTCAACCCTCACCTCATTGTACCTGAAATGTAGGACATAGAGTCTTGGAAAATTATTCTGGAGATAAGAAACTTAATGTTTTTCCTGTTGGATTTTTGATTTATTTAGGAACAGTGCTCCTTTTTTTTTTTTGCTTATCAATTTTTCCCCTGTCCTACACCTGTCTTATTGTAGTTTGGAAGTAGATAAACTTGTTTCTGTTCAATAGCTTGAGATAATTTACTCCAAGTTTTGCTTAAAACAGGTTTATGTGAGACTTTGAACTTTAGAGTATTGGTTAAGATGTGAGGCTATTCAAATGGAATAAAGACATTTTCCATGTAAGAAGTACATTAATCTGTGGAACCAGGGGGCAGAATCCTCTGGTTTGAAGGTGTTCCTCAAAGCCCATGTATTGGGACCGAAGTCCTCAGTGCACTAATGCTGGGAGTGGAGCACAGGGAGGTGCCCAGGCCATGAAGGCTCCAGCCTTATCTATCATGGATGGATGCCAAGTATACAAAGTTCATGAGTTTGATTCCTTGCACTCTCCCCTATTCTTGCATACCCACCTTTCCTATGGAATGATTCAGCACGAAGGCACCTTGCCAGCTGTAGGCCCCTCAACTTGGGATTTCCTAGCCCCCAAACTGTTTTTGTTTTTAAAATAAGTCTTATTTCCCCATCCTTTGTAACAGCACAAAATAAACTCAGATATGTTTAAAGGGTAAAACTGGGCTGAAGGCTTCAGTTGAGCTCACCTGCTAACTGACCCGGCCCCACAATAGCTGTCCAAGCTGGAGGTGCCCCTCAGGGAAGGTGGGCTCGCTCAGGAAGGCACATATATTGACAGGCTGTGGAACCAGTGTTCCATGGCACCTACTCTGGGAAACACTGTGCTAAGTGACAGTCTACTCTAGAGAAGTATCTAATCATTTTCCGAGGTTGTGGCTCAGTGCTCAGAGGCCTGACAGTTGCCCCATTGGGCCAGGGAACACAGACCTCTTGTAGAGAAAGACTGGAGGGTGGAGGGGCTATGAGTACTTGCTCCTGGGTGCCCCCCTAAAGATTGCTCAGTCTCCCTACTTGTAAAATGGAAATTATAATAGATTTGCTCTGAGACCACATGAAAACATGTACAGAATTTAAAATGTCCATCATAACACGCAGACTCTTTATCCTTTTTCAACCAATGGAGAAACTGCCTATCCACTTGAGAGTACCTGGGAAATATTGCACTAGACTCATTTAGCATTAACATTGGTAAGAGTTAATCATTATTGAAAGCCACTCCTTTCTGAGCTGCTTGTGAGATTCTGGTCTATGTAAAAAGGAAATCTAGAAGCCACAACTGTGGTAGTGGTCTCCAAAA